CCCTCACTCTGTCACTAGTCACCCCTTCCTTCCCTCACTCTGCCACTAGTCACCCCCTCACTCTAGTGACAGAGTGAGGGAGGGTGTGTCTAGTGACAGATTGAGGGAGGGGTTGACTAGTGACAGAGTTAGGGAGGGAAGGGGTGACTAGTGACAGTGAGGAAGGGGGTGACTAGGGACAGAGTGAGGGAGGTGGTGACTAGTGACAGTCACCACCTCCCTCACTCTGTCACTGTGTCACCCCCTCCCTCTGTCACTAGTCACCCACTCCCTCCCTCCCTCTGTCACTGGTCACCCACTCCCTCCCTCCCTCTGTCACCAGTCATCCCCTCACTCTGTCACTAGTAACCCCTTCCTTCCCTCACTCTGCCACTAGTCACCTTTTCCCTCACTCTGTCACCTGTCACCCCCTCACTCTGTCACTAGTCACCCCCTCACTCTGTCACTAGTCACCCCCTCACTCTAGTGACAGAGTGAGGGAGGGTGTGACTAGTGACAGAGAGGAAGGGTGTGACTAGTGACAGTGAGGAAGGGTGTGACTAGTGACAGTGAGGGAGGGTGTGACTAGTGACAGAGTGAGAGAGGGTGTGACTAGTGACAGAGAGAGGGTGGGGGTGACTAGTGACAGAGAGAGGGAGGGGGTGACTAGTGACAGAGTGAGGGAGGGAAGGGGTGACTAGTGACAGAGTGAGGGAGGGAAGGGGTGACTAGTGACAGAGTGAGGGAGGTGGTGACTAGTGACAGTCACCACCTCCCTCACTCTGTCACTGTGTCACCCCCTCCCTCTGTCACTAGTCACCCACTCCCTCCCTCCCTCCCTCTGTCACTGGTCACCCACTCCCTCCCTCCCTCTGTCACCAGTCATCCCCTCACTCTGTCACTAGTAACCCCTTCCTTCCCTCACTCTGCCACTAGTCACCCCCTCACTCTGTCACTAGTCACCCCCTCACTCTAGTGACAGAGTGAGGGAGGGTGTGACTAGTGACAGAGAGGAAGGGTGTGACTAGTGACAGTGAGGAAGGGTGTGACTAGTGACAGTGAGGGAGGGTGTGATTAGTGACAGAGTGAGAGAGGGTGTGATTAGTGACAGAGTGAGAGAGGGTGTGACTAGTGACAGAGAGAGGGTGGGGTGACTAGTGACAGAGAGAGGGAGGGGGTGACTAGTGACAGAGTGAGGGAGGGAAGGGGTGACTAGTGACAGAGTGAGGGAGGGAAGGGGTGACTAGTGACAGAGTGAGGGAGGTGGTGATTAGTGACAGAGGGAGGGATGGGGTGAGACAGAGTGAGGGAGGTGGTGATTAGTGACAGAGGTAGGGATGGGGTGACTAGTGACAGTCACCACCTCCTTCACTCTGTCACTAGTCACCCCCTCCCTCACTCTGTCACTGTGTCACCCCCTTCCTCACTGTGTCACCCCCTTCCTCACTCTTTCACTGTGTCAACCCCTTCCTCACTCTCACTAGTCACCCACTCCCTCCCTCACTCTGTCACTAGTCACCCCCTCTCTCACTCTGTCACTAGTCACCCACTCTGTCACTAGTCACCCCCTCTCTCACTCTGTCACCAGTCATTCCCTCACTCTGTCACCAGTCATCCCTTCCTTCCCTCACTCTGCCACTAGTCATCCCTTCCCTCACTCTGTCACCAGTCCTCCCCTCACTCTGTCACCAGTCACCCCTTCCTTCACAGTGACAGAGTTAGGGAGGGAGAGACTAGTGACAGAGAGAGGGATGGGGTGACTATTGACAGAGTGAGGAAGGGGGTGACTAGGCACAGAGGGGGTGATTAGTGACAGAGTGAGTGAGGGGGTGACTAGTGACAGAGTGAGGGAGCGGGTGACACAGTGACAGAGTTAGGGAGGGAGTGACTAGTGACAGAGAGAGGGATGGGGTGACTAGTGACAGTCACCCCCTCCCTCACTCTGTCACCAGTCATCCCCTCACTCTGTCACTAGTCACCTCTTCCCTCCCTCACTTTGCCACTAGTCATCTCTTTCCTCCCTCACTCTGCCACTAGTCACCCATTCCCTAACTCTGTCACTAGTCACCCCCTCTCCATCCCTCTGTCACTAGTCACCCACTCCCTCACTCTGTCACCAGTCACCCCCACTCACTGTGTCTTCCCCTCACTCTAACAATATATTTAAAGTATAAAAGCGCTAAGCCTATAATTCTGTATACACAGATGAGGTGGCAGAAAAAAATGTGAAAAGTTTCTGTATCACCTTCAAAATGTTAAACACCTCTGTTACAGGGTTAAATTCCAAAAAGCTGCTACACACCTGTGTGAACCCAACTCCCACACCAAAAATCAAACAAAATACTTATATAGGTGGAGCGCAAAATCAGATCCACATTTCCATGGAATCCTTTACACAGCTTCAACTCAGATGGATATAAAAGAGATAAAATGCATATAATAGTGAAGTACAGTTATAGTAAGTTGCAAATATTTAATAATCGTTTCACTAGACATAAAACACTCCTAGCAATAAAAGTAATAAATCAAAATCAAAATCAATATTGAATAAAATTACATAAATTAAATGAAATAAACATTGAGCCTCTTACAGGATAAAAATAAGTGAGTGTATGCAGTCCCAGCTGCTACTCACTAACGCTTTATAGTTGCCTTAGTCCAGGCACAGGGTTGACAGGTAGCCGGCTTCTCTCTTGTCTCCTCCACGGATGTCGTAGAGAAAGCGGGCCGCTGAAAAATCCTGGATGCCGGTCTGGGGTTCTCTGAGCTTCCCGGGTGCTCCGCCCCTTTTGCGTCACTCCGTAAAAGGCGTGCGTCACTGCGTCGTCTACGCGTTTCGCCGAAGCTTCCTCAGGACACAGAGCAGTGATGCTGACTTGTCTTACTTGTCCACTATTTAAAGCGATCCTTCCGCTTCCTATTGGATCCCTAATCATAGTGTCTTTTATACAGGTGTATTAAAACCATACATCCTCTACTTAACTCCATAATTACCTATACTAAATAGACATATTAATGCAGATATCATAGGGACATTTAAACATTTAAACATATAATTGACAAACATTTCTCAATTTTATTCTACCATACCTGGTTTTAAGAGAAGAGAGAAAATTGGTAACAGGGAGTTAATACAAATATAAATACAACTTTCCATCAAACTTTTAAACTTTTCTATGTCAATTTTAACTTTTAACCATTTTTAAATGTTTTTAAATAAGTATTACCTTCCCCAAAGGGGTGCCCATATTTAAAGTGCCCCAAAACCAATTTAAAGTGCTATATTCAAAATTCGGAACCATTTGCTACAAAATGCAGATCATATATATAATTGTAAATTATTCATACAATCATCTAAAATATATCTAAATATA